TTTAGCTGTTCAATTGTTAAAATGAGCTTTAAATATTCTTCCTTAACATCTTTTAAAGAAATAGTGGTCTGCCTATCTCAAAAAAAGAAAAAAAAAGAAATAGTGAGAAGTATAGTAATGATTTTAGTATTGTGGTTTAACTTGTTGAAAATTAAATACATTTCGATTGATTACTAATACCAAGGTCAAGCAATGCCTCTGTAATTCTGAGACCCTTGTCAATGTGTTTCAATAAAAAGAACAGATAACTATATTTTTTCTATCCTAGATTAGCTCGAGATACCTAATTTAACATCAATTGGTTACATGCTCTACAGCATTACCACGTTTTTGTATGCTTTATAGATTCACAAGGTGTATCTAACAGAATTAATTTTAGTTAATGAATTTAGTAAAAAATGCTCTGCATTCTGACGCAAAAGGACACTAGTTCATGAAGTTCCCAATCTGTGAATATTATTAGCACAACTGTCTGAAATACTCCAGCTAGTAAAGCAAAATGTGATTGTAAGCAAATAAAGCATTTTTCACTTTATTTTTTTTACATTTTTTTTTAGACAGGTGTCACACTCTGTCACCCCAGGCTAGAGTACAGTGGCATTATCATAGCTAACTGAAGCCTCAACCTCCTGGGCTCAAGTTATCTTCCTGTGTCAGCCTCCCGAGTAGCAAGGACTACAGGCACACTGCCACCATGCCCAACCAATGTTTTTATTTCTTTTCACAGCATCTTGCTTTGTTACCCTGGCTGCCACTTTAATATTTGACTGGCATATTCTTTCTAGATTGAAAGAGCACATTGTGTTATTGATTTTATATGACTAAATTTATACACAAAATAATACATATATCTGAGTAGCTCTTCCCCATTTTGTAAGGAGATGATTCCAGACTTCTATAAATGTAGACAAACATTTCATCTGATATAAAGTTACTTATTATGCATATTACATGGACTTCATTAAAGTCTATGTAGCACCATCCATTATGGCAACCCCAAGCCACATGCTGCTATAACTTCAAATGTAGCTAGTATGAACTGAGATGTACTGTAAACCTAAAATATATACCACATTTCAAACTCAGTATTTTTTAAAAGTAAAAATCTTTCTTCGTGATTTTATATTAATTCTATATTAAAATGATAATCTGGAAACAGGATTAAATAAAATATATTACTACATTAATCTCACTGGTCTATTTTTTTCTTTGTAATGTTACCACTAGAAAATTTAAAATTGTATGTGAATTGCATTATATTTCCATTAGACAATGTTAGTTCAAGCTGTCAAAAAAAAAAAATCCACTGAGCAAATAATGGTTTTTAATAAGAAGAATTAAAAGTTCTGGATCAATAAATAAAGTAAAAAATGACACATGAACAGGATTTAGGACAAATATCAATGATAACAGGAATGCAAAAATAAACAATAGGACACAGTCTCTGTTGATCATTATATCATGAAATATAATGAGTCCTATGATAGTCACTCTGATTTTTAAAAAAAATCTACATTGGGCAATTTTGTTTGATTAAAAAAACATGTAAAAAGTATAATAGCCATGTTATTAGACTACACATAATCATAAGCTTCATATCAATTTGTATAAATATCCATACAGTGATCATTATTATTAAATTATAAAATTAATTTCAGGATTTTATAAAACTGTTATGCATTATATTTTATTGAAAACTAATGGGCCTTTCAAGTTTCATACATAAGACATGTTATTAAATTGAAAGGGTTATCAAGAATTAATTTTTATGTTAATGTTGCTTTTTATATTGCATCTACAAAGTGATCATTTTGCTAACATTGAAAAAGGTTTCTTGGTGAAAACGGATTATATAGAATTATACACTGAATTTTTTACATTAAAACATAGATCATTTTTGGAGTAATAAAACAGGACTTTACTCAAACATTAAAAAGGTATTAAACTTACATTTACAAAATTACAATCCTTTCCCCTAATGATTCTACTAATCATATAATTCATTTCCAAGGAATGTTTAAATTTCACCAATATTTGCCATCCCAATCCCATCTCTCTATTTTCAAACAAGCTTTACCTCCTTAGACTTCTTTTGAACATGCTGTTAATGATGGTACAGTAAAATGAGTATTTAAAAATAAATCAGGACATCCTACACCACTGCCAATCCTTCCCCCGCTCCCAGCCGTTGATGACCCAATGACAAAATATGCTTATAAAATCTCAATATCTAAATAGTTTCTTTGCTTCTAAATCTGATGTATCAAAAGTAAATTACTATTTCTTGTTGAAAAATACTTTTCCCATCTAATGGCCCAAATCTTCTGTAAATAAACCCTCGCTTTCTCTTGCTATTCTTCCTCTTATTCTAGCTCTCATTCTCTTAATCTAAGCCAACTCTCTTTCACATATTACTGGCCCTTTCAATCTCTATTAGGATTCTTTCAGAATCTGTAACAATCCTTTCTTTCTACCTAACTTCTAGTTACATAAGAACCGTTACCAAGAAATGCTTTATCCACTTTTTCAGATAATATACAATTTCAGATAATAAAATAGTTAGATTATTTCTTAAATTTTCCTTATATTTTTCACAATTATCACATTAGCAATTATCAAAGTATCACAGGGTAAGTTCAATGTCCAGGTTGAAGCCTTTCACTTAATGCCAGGAATTACAATGCTAAAAAAAACACAGTGCATTTGTTATGAAAATACTATTGGAAGTGAATGCCAGGGTTCAAGCCCTGGTTCCACCACTGATTCGTTTTATGACTTTAGGCAAGTTACTTCTTTGCCTCAGTTTCTTTATCTGTAAAAGGTAATTAAGGTAATACCTATCATTTATTGTGAAAATTAAATAAGGAATAGCATTAAAATAGCTTACAGAATACCTGGCATGTTAGAGACCTTCAATAAATCGTATTAGGAATAGGAATGCTCAAAGTCCTCAAGTCAGAAAAAAAGATCATTAAATTCTAAGATAATTCTGATCAAAGCTACTCAAAATTCTTGTGGCTCAGAAGTAGATTGGAGACAACAGGAAAGTCACAGAAACTCACCATTTGAAGGAAGACAATATAATATCTATATTTTCTGCAAATTTTGGATTTTTATGGATGCAGATAAAAACTAAATTTATACACCCTATATATAAGTGGTTAAATTAAAACCATTTCCCAAAGTTTTAAACCATTTCCCATGTGCCCCAAAATACTCTGCTCTAACGTAGTATCACATACATTTCTGTTACGTTAGGATTAGACACAAGTTCTGTTTAGAAATGACTCCAAAAACAGTTTTTATATTTTCACACTGAAAATCAGTCAGATTTGTTTCAGTCTCAAGGATCTTGTGTTTATGTAAGATTAAATGAGCTCTGGTAGTGAGCTGCACTTTTTGTTTCTAAATGGGAAATGGGTTACTAGGGAAAAGCCATCACTTTTGCCTATTTGCAATTAAAATATAGAATAGGTTATATGATACAGGGCATAAAGTCCTTTACTGAAATTGGCATTATTTCCTTTACTATTATTCTGAGCAACAAAACTCATTTTCTCAGTGAATCAAGTTTAATGAAGCAGTGGAGCATAAGTCCCTATGGAAAAACACAAGGTTTTCTGGTAAGATTTCTCCAGAATGCACGTAGAACTAAATAATAAATTAACCAAATGAATACCTGGCAGAAATGTAAAGATTGGTAGCAAAACATGGATTATTATGAAGTTATCTCTAAGAGCAAACTTCAAATCAGTGTTATAACTCTTTTGCATAATGTTTGGGATACAACCTAAAGATTGAGATCTTTGAGTCTTATATACTTATTTGGTAGCAGCTAAACTGTGGGATAATAATCTCCACTTCTCTCCCCATCTTCTCTTTTTTTTTTTCCTTGAAACAAACAAAAAATACTATTTGCATCAAATTCCAGGACACTTATGGCACCATGCGTGTGAGTAAGCTTACGGGCAAATATCACACACATGCTGGCATGTGGCTCTTCAATGAGAATCTTCCTGCCTATGCAGCAGAAGGGATGAGAAGGGGGTGCCCCCTCAGCACAGGCCAGCCTTCTTGGACTTGTTCCTGTATTCACAAGAGAGTTCAGGTATCCAGACACTTTCATCTCTTTGGCGTTGGTTTCTGGCTTGCACATAATGCAGAGAGAAAAGCATTGCTTAGCTTTAACCTCATGTTCCAGCTCCATTTCTCAGTGAGCTATGGATTCCAGTTTAGAACATGCAACAAGTGAAAAATTAGAAGTACTCTTTGCTTTTCCATTTATCATTCTTCTTTGATATCTGCATATTCAGCCCTTTCAGGGAACACCTAGAGAGTTGTCTAGGGCAAAATGGAATTTGAACATTGCCGGGTCCCTTGGCTTAAGATCATTTTGCAAACATTATCATACTATGTAGAACAGTAGAAACAAAATATGCTTAAAAAAGAAAAAGAAAAAGTGGTGTGTTTCCTCTCTTTAAGTCTTTAATATCTACTTTGATATGCAGAGGTCTACAGTGACTGCAGAGCTCTAAAACAACTATTTGGTCTGGCAATCCCCAGACACAATTCTCAAGTTTTGTTAAAGTATTGTTGTGTGGTTTGCCTCTTTTTTTTTTGGTCAGAGGTTGGTGGGGAATGTAACGCTTGCTTGTGTTCCCTAGAACAACATGGAATATCAATGTTATAGAAATCTTCGGAGAGATTGTGAGACGCAGAAATTTGATACTCACTTCAGCTATATAATTAGACATCCAGAATCATCAGAACCAAGTTGAAAATCTTTACTAATTACTGGAAATAAGAAAAACCTCTATTTTCATCTCGAGGTTGAAGAAAATACACTCATTCTTAAAATTTCATGTAAATGCATCAGTTACATTTAGAAAAACAAAAAAAATACGCATTCTAAAAATTACAATTAAAAATGTGGTTATTTCAATGTATGTGCCTCTTAAAGTATACCCAGTTCAAGAGTAAGAAGATAAGAAAAGTCTTACCTCCCATCCCGATCCCAGTCATACACCTCTACTTTGATTGTTCTGTACATGGAAAAAAACATACACATAAAGTTACTTAGTAAGATCAAAATAAGGTATGGCCGAGAATTTAAAAATAAGTTGATTTTCTTAGGTAAAATAGTGTATGCTTGTACGTTTTACATATGAATTTGATGTTAACTTTGCTAATTTCATTACTACAATCCAATTCACATCTTAAAAGAGGCTTCTAAAATCTTCATTGATTCCTTAAAGAGAGTAAGAAGAGTCTACAGGGGAAGCATGTGCAGTTTGATAGAGCTCCTAGAAGGGATGGTGTGCACCCACTTCTCCACTCTTGAAAATTGCTGTCTTAAAGCAGTGTTTCTCAAACTCAGCATAGATCGGAATCATATGGGGGTGCACTTGTCAAAACATGGATTATTGGACCCTTTCCTGGAGTTTCTGATTAAGTAGGTCTGAACTGGAGCCAGATAATTTGAATTTCTATCAGATCAGCAGGTGATGCTGACTGATGCTGCTAATCAGGAAGAACATTATGAGAACCACTTTCTTAGGAAAAAATGAGTCCAGCTAAATACAGGAATGCTCTTACTAAATGAATAGAATATAAAGTGACATGATAAATTTCAAAGTAAACTTAATAACATATTGGTAATCAATAGTTCTATAATATGGGTTAATTAAATAGACTTTTTCTATCATACGTAACAAAATAAAGATTGGGATTTTTACTTTTTATTTGAGTTTCTTTTGGGATGGGTAAGGATTTTATATTATAATCATACAATAAAATTTCATAAGAAAAAAGAACTTTGATATTAAAAATTCTTCAGGTATATTATGGGAAAATCCTCAGGACCACCTTACTCAGGTAATTATAAAACATTAAAATTTCCTGTGCTACAACTATGGAAATTTTTTGAGTCAGCAATCATTAGTTCTACCACATAACATTTTCAAGAGTATTTCAGGGTTGATAATATATCTAAGCACAGTGTTGAAACTTTCGTGTTTCTACTTGTTTCTCTAGAAGGACTGTACCATAGAAAAGGCTAAGGCAATGAAGATTCTGAAATAACTTTTGAATAATAAATTAAAATTTAAAACTAATATTTAATGTATTTTTTGCATTTGCACATTTTCATTTTTGGAAAATAAGTTTAACCAAATTTTAATTAGCCAACTTATCCCTCTTCCCCAAATCTTTGTAAATTTTTTAAAAAGTTATTTGAAGATTTTTGAATAAATGGTCCTTCTTACCTGTCATAATCTCCATTACATAATGCTCTGACTGAGATCTTGAATGCTTGCCATACCGGATTCAGAGTGTTTTTGACAACTTCTGTTTTATGACAAATTGTAAAACTGTAAAGAGAAAAGTTTTCAGTTATTTGTATGATTTGATTATTTTAACTGATCTATTGTTTTAGTAGTCATTCCTCTATTTACTTTTTTGTTAAAAATAAATACTCAGTCACGCTGTTGCTGCTACATCACTTCATGAAAAGAGATATGTGATTTTAAAACCTGAATGATCAGCTCACCATAATCTACTTTGCGATAAATTTACCAAAGGCAATCTGAAAATTCAATAAATCCTAAAGCTATTTTGTAAACAATCTCTGTGAGCATTGTGGTGACACGCTGATGGAGTGAGAAATATCCTTGAGTCCCTAAGAATACGAAGGTCACCAGCAACTTTGAGAAGAGCAGCTGTGTTGGAGTGCTGGGAAGAAAAACCTGGTTAGAGTAGGTTTAAGAAGGAGAAGAGAAACTGAGGCATGGTGTGTGAACATTTTTTTAGTCTGGCTGTGAAGAAAAACAAAGAAATTAGAAGAATTTAAGGGAAAAAATGGATTAACTACAGGAAAAGTTTTGTTGTTATTACTTTCAATATTTATTTTCAACACGGAAGAAATAACAGCAAGGTTGTCTGTTAAAGGAAAAGATCTGGTAGAAAGGAAACCACTTATGATGCATGAGAGAAAAGTGGGAGCAATGCCTTTTAAGCAGATGAGAGTAGATGGGATCCTGGGCAACAGTGGAGAAGCTGCTGTTGAGAGGCAGACGGTCATTCTTCAAGAACATTCAGGAAGGCAGAGTACATGGGTTGACATTGTGTTAAGATCATGAGGAAGCTCTCCAATTGTCACCATTTTCTTATGAAAGAGGATGCATGATAATGAGCAAAGGAGGAGGATGAAGCATAAGTGATAAAGTGTCTGGGATAAAGAAAATGTTCGTAGATTAAGGAAAAGGAGAAGAATTCTCAGGGAGTGCCGAGAGCCCATTTAAGTTTAAAATCACATCATGAATCTGTAGAAAGTTCATTCAGTGTGTGGTTCTTTCTTTATCTAAACTGTTGGTTCTATATATCTAAAGTATTCCCAAGGGAAGGAAGACAGCAATTCACAATAAGGGGCAGAATTCATGGAGCCTTAAGCTCAGTTTTCTAATTCAAATTCCAGTGTCGTTTCCACAAAACCATTGAATCTTAAGACATCAATCAGTTCCTGGATATATGTTCTTCCTTCGTGAGAATTGATGCAGCAGTTCCTGAGCTAGAAACATTTAGAGTGATCTTCATTGAAACAATATATAAACATAGGCTTCTCAAGACCTAGGCCATGAAGTGTTTCAAATGCAAGTATCTAACAGTCACGGAACATGAAAATATTAATAAATCCCACAGTGAATAAACTCCCCCAACCCCCACAAAGAAATATCCCCTCTTTGTTAAATCTTTAAGTTCACTTACCTACTCTCAAGCAAGAGGGATTTGTTTCTATTAAGAGATAAGATGGAACATAATATTTTATATAAGGATCAAGTTTTTATTATAAGACTGATGGTATTATTGCCTTCTCCTTCCTGGTAGTATCCTCACCCATCTATGGAAACTCATGTCATTAAATTGACAGAGCCCAGGAAAATGTATTGTGTTCAAATGTTCTCAGAGGTGACTCACCTGAAGCAATTAGGAGTCACTGGGGGAATAGGCATTACAAGTAAGACAGAGGGGCAGACAGAGAAGACTCTTGGAAAGGTAATGAAGATGTTTAAAGCAGAGGAAGAAAATCAAAGGGGATAGGGGAAGCTGGAGGAGGGCTGTGGGGGCTCAGAACAGAGGGAAACAAATGAAACAAAGCAGAGTTACCAAAAATTGTCAAAAAATAGTTATAGAAAACAAATTACAGAGGGAAGGCAGAGCTGTATGTTGGTTTGTTTCAGAAACAAACAATATATTCATTAAGATGCATTCATAAAAATACAATACATTCTTAAAGATCTACAAAGGGAGTTTCTCCTCTTTCATATTCTAATCTATAGCAAGTCTTTGATACGGTGATAAATACAGATAGCTTGAAAGATAATAGCTAGATAGATAACAGGGAGAGAGAGAAAAAGAGAGAGAGAGAGAGAGAGAGAGAGAGAATGAGAGACCAGCTGACCATCTTCAGGCCAACATGTTCAACCATCTACTGACTTTTTGGCTTCTTTGCCTATGGTTAAATCAAAATTTCTCTTATATTCCCAATGTCACCAGCTGCAGTAATTAAATACTTTTGATACTTGAAACATTTCCTCTGAAGGAAGGGACATCCTTCTTACTGAGATATTTATGAGGCAAGTAGTCATTTATTGCCTATTAATCATTCTCATTTCTAATGTATTAGATATGATATATACAGCAAATCCTCACTGGTAAGCATTCCAGTCCTGGTGTAACCAGTAAAAATTCTGCCAGGAGTCCAATGTAGCTTTTCCTAACGTTCATAAGTATTTCTATATAATGTGTGTATGTATTACAAACGGTATTATAAGAAAATATATTTTTACTAAAAACCTGTATGATACTTTAAGTGAGGCCATTTACCAAAAATAACGATTCCAAAGGAAAAGTACTACCCAATCACAAATCAATGTCGTTACTAAATAAATGTCAAAGCAAGATATGACTATGAGATCATATAGTATTAAGGTTTTCAATTAATATTTCCAGTAGAAGTTAAGTTTTTCTCCTTCTTATGAAATAAGCCACAAATATACTAGGTATTAGGCAATTTTTAAAATAGTTTCTTAATAAAATAAATATTATAAATAAAGGTAGAATCTTTGCATTTAAAAATAGAGACAAAAAGTGAGGCATAAAAGCATCTGTATATATTCAAAATACAACAAAGCATACGCATGCATATATATACATAAAATATCTGGATCAAGCTGGCAAACTAGGTTTCTGTGTGTAAATGGAAAGTTTTCTGAAATGAGACATCAATTTTTAGAAAGTTTTTTCAAATTATTTGATATTTTTTGATTAGTCATATTTTTCTTAATGTTTAGATTTTATTTAATGAGTGAGTATAATTTTTAAAAGCATAGTAAATTTTCTAATGAAAGTATCACTGGTAGCATTAGATATGTGATAAAGTGAAACTTTACAGCTGCACAAATAATCTTTACAGAGAAAACTAATAATAATAAAAATAGAAAATTCAGGGAGCAAGTAGTTCATGAGAAAATTTTCATTCAAGAAATTCTGAATCATTCTTGAGGTTTTTCTCTATTTTTGAAATGCCTGGCCAAATATTATTTTCTTCACTCTCCAATATTTTTCATATGAATAAAATTAGTGTTCAGATGCATATGACATGCTGACATTTTTACCACCAAAAAAGAAGGGAAATATACAAAATCTAATAGTATAACGCTATGGCAAATATATCCAACAGTTGCTCAGCAGCTGCATCAACAAACATCTCCCAATAAGTAAACCATCATTTTAAACTGGCCAGTGCATTCATTTTAAACAGCAAACTTTCTACATTATGTAGTGTTTTATACTTATTACATAACACATTGAATAGTTTCATATATAAGTGTAGCAGTAGTGATAGATTTTTTGTCCATTCTATTCCCTTAATTTTTAATTTCCAAATAACATGGTCTCTTTAGTTATGTTACACATAGTTTTAAAAAAAGAAAACACTAACTATAACATAATAACAATATTAGCTAATGTTTAAGTTCTTCTTATGTGTTGGACAAAGTTAGAAATTTTTTTGTATAGTAACTAATTTAATCTGATCAACAACTCTGTGAGGTAGCTATGATTACTACCCCATTTTACAGGTGAGGAGAAAATGGAATCTCATGTAGGTTAAAAAGTTGCCTTAGTCCTATAGCTATTAAATAGCAAGGTTATTATTTAAATCTAGACAACAGAAATTAGCCATATTATTAACAACTAAACATTCTCACAAATACTAATAGTACAATATGAATCACAAAAAAAGCAGTCAAATATATTTTATAGTAGATCCATACAGATTAAATTATGGTGTATAACTCATAAAGACATATTCAAAAATTTACAGAAACTAGTCTAATCAGAACTGGCAAAAGTATTCAAATTACTAGAATATAATGAACATTTTCATTGAAAGTTGGATATTGGGGGGGAAAAAAAAAAGCAACCCATAAGCTCCACACCCTTCTCTAAGAAAATGGTTTAAGTTTAAATCTATAAAAAAATATATTTTTTTCAGCATTCAGGTTTTCACAAAATATAATTCTTCTATACTATTAAGTCAATTTTATAATTTTTGTTTTTTTTTTTTTTGAGACGGAGTCTCACTCTGTCTCCCAGGCTGAAGTGCAGTGGCATGATCTCGGCTCACTGCAACCTCCACATCCTGGGTTCAAATGATTCTCCTGCCTCAGCCTTCTAAGTACGTGGGATTACAGACACACACCACCACGCCCAGATATTTTTTTTTTGTATTTTTAGTAGAGATGGGGTTTCACCATGTGGGCCAGGCTGGTTTTGAACTCCTGACCTTGTGATCCACCCACTTTGGCCTCTCAAAGTGCTGGGATTATAGAAGTGAGCCACCGCACCCAGTTGTTATAATTTTATAAAAAGTAAAGAGGAAATATTTCCATGAAACTAGAAATTATTCATTTTAAGTATCAAAGCATATAAAATGTTTATAAAGTTGCACAATGAGATGCAAAAATCCCATTAACTTTTAAAATCTCAAACTATTTTACTCCTTTTAGTAATTTAATGAGCTTCCCTAAGAAAAATAGTTATAATTCAAGTGTCATTATAACCATATAATTAAAATGAATAAAAGACAAATCTACCTGCCATCTTCATTACTTCGATAAAATACAAGGAAAGGATCTGATTTTCCAAAGAAGTCCTTCTTGTCCAATTTGTTTGCACAAAATTGCATCAAAACAGCATCCTAGAAACAACATTAATAAAATAGTTCAAAACCTGGGCTATAAATAATTGGAAACTGCAGATCACAAACAAGGCTTGACAAGAAAACAAATTTACCATTTTAATGCAAATGGCCAAGTGTGGGAGAATCCCAGACAATATAAAATTGCTTTTTAAAGGACTACGGGACTTTAAAAATTTTGCTGGTAATTTTCATTCTAGGTACAAAACTATGACTTTTCAAAAAGTTTTAACATTTTCCCCTTGAAAAGTGGTATTAAGCTAGGTGACGCCAGGCACCCAATGTTATATATACAGGATCCTCATTCATATATTCAGTTATGCAGGTACACATTTTTAAAACAAACTTAAAAAATTCCTATTCATTAAAAAAATTTACTAAGTATCTACAACATACCTACTATGTATCAAATGTTGAGATGTACCAGATGATTAGATGGGGAGTAAGAAAGATAAACACTGACCACACAGTTTATAATCTAGGGACAGGAAAGTTCCTTCTTAACATATGCAAGTGTACTATAATAAATCAATAACTACATTTAAAAACAATTTTTATGATATTGGGCTTCAAGAAAAAAGTGCCCTCATTTTCTTCTGTAACTTGAATTACATATTTGCATGGTAATATGTAAAACTGAACAGGAAAGCTTAAAATGTTGGAAAGAAGTGTGATAAAGTAATTCAGATTAAACAAAGAGGTTACAATTTTGAACATTGCATGATAAAATGCCAACAATGTCTAAAAAAGCATTCTCTTATTAATCACTTCTTTATCTTACAGAGTCCATCTATACTTATTAAGGATACACCTAAATATTTTATTATTTCCTTTCAGTAATTCCAGAAGAGTATCTAAAACATCATGCTACCTTTGTTATTTGACTTTACTTTTAGCATATAGCTGTGATAACTTCTATCAGAGGAACATCTCTAATAGAGCAGGGAATATATTCTAGCCAGGCAAAGTGACAATATACATTTTGAAGAAAATTAAAATAAGTACAGAGGTAAGGACAATATGGACATCACTATCACCTCAAACCTCTATAGCATATCATGTTTCTTTTCAGATTTGAAGGTTAAAGAACAAAAAATTCTAACTATTAAAGAAGCAGTGAAATAATAATTCTGGAAGATCAAATTATAAAATCAAGAGCAGCATTGAAAAGCGCGAGCTGTTTGGTTTGGTTTGTTTATTTTGAATGCCCTTTCATTTCCATATATATTAAAATGCTGTTGGGAGAGAATGGCTTTCTAAGAACCCGGGGACATTCTAAGGACATTGTTCTTGTAGAAAAACATTACTCTTTACCACATTCTCCCAAAGCACCTGGACCAAAATATAAACTTCCAAGGAACATTTTGTATACTTAAGATGCATAATAAAAAATGAAATATATTTATTTCAAACAGACTGTGAACAAAACGTCAGAGATGTATTATTACTAAACTATGAACTTTTATTGGCTCATTGGTAAATGTAATACTAAATTTTTCAAATTATATTCCTTAAGGCTTGCAAAATGAACAACTGATTCAAAATAAAGATTTATTGCAATGCAGAAAATTATATAACCTTAGAAAATAATGTTCTTGTAATTACCCAGGTTAACAGCTTAGCAGGGATTAAGTGCTACATCTGTATCAAGCACAAAATAAATCTTGTTTGGAAGGAAAGGTATTTATGTACTTTTAGAAATACACACGCATCACTGCAAAGTTTTGTTTTGTTTTTATGCCTTATGCTTAATGTCACGAGATACATTTTTAAAACCTCTCTTTAATACTCTACATATAAGGAATGTTCTATTGAATAAAGCCACTTGTACATTTCACAGGCATTTCCAACAGGTTTAAATCTGAACATTTAATATCTGTCCAGAAACTTGCTTCTCCTATAATTTCCCCAGCTTATTAGTGGCGTTGTCATTTACTCAAGTGCCCAAGGAAGCCATTCTTAACTGTTCTCTTTCCCTGACCCTTTATCCAATCCACCACAAGTTGCACCATTTACCTCTAAAATTTTGCTCAACTCTTTACTTGGGCTCCACTGCCACCGCCTTATTCCGGTTTCAATATTATTTCTCATCCAGACATGTACAGTGACATTTATTCATTACTCCCACTTCCATTCTTTGATGTATCCAATCCATTCTCCATTCAGCAGACAGAGTAAGATTCTTGAAACATGAAAATTTCATGTTGCTCACAAATTAAAATGCTTTAAGGCTTTCTCTTGTGTTTAGGAAAACTGCAGAACCTTTAACATGGTCTACAAAGGTCAACATCAAATGGGCTCTGAGCAGCCTTTTCCACCTTCATCTGGAAAAGTTTACCTCAGTCATCTTCCACTGCTCATCCCTGGCCGTCTCACATCAGACCCACACATGTCTTTCCCACCTCAGGGCCTTACATGGCTGTGTCTGCTGGAATTCTTATCCTTGGGCTGGCAAACAACTACTCCTTTAGGACTTAGCTTAAATGTCACTTTCTCAAAGAGGCCCAGTGATCCCCGCGATGCTTAATATAAATTAGATCCCTACTGTACTCTCTCATAATATATTTGAATCACTTGGCACATATCATGACATATTTTCCCTGCATAGTCAGCTGACTAATGTCTCGCTTTCCCACAAATTATGTGTTCATCAAAAGCAAGGACCAGGGTTGAAGGTTGTGCTGTTGTGTTTTGTATTGCTTTTTTTCTTGCCATTCTATTCTAAGCATTCATTCCAAGGACATTATAACATTTTGTAAACACTGTTGAATCAATCAATCAGTAAAAACAAAAAATATTCTTTGTGAAACATTTCAGGCTACTTTTAAAATACTACATGAAAGGCCAAGCATAGTGGTTCACGCCTGTAACCCAAGCACTTAGGGAGGTCAAGTGGAGGTTGGATCACTTGAGTCTGGGAGTTCAAGACCAGAATGGACAACACAGCAAGACCACATCTCTACCAAAAAAAAACCATTTTTTTAAATTAGCCAGGTGTGGTGGAACATGCATATGGTCCCAGCTAGGAGGGAGACTAGGCGGGACAATCATTTGAGTCCAGGAGTTCAAAGCCTGCAGTGAGTCATAATTGTGCCACTGAACTTCAGCCTGGGTGATAGAGTGAGACCTTGTCTTAAAAAGTGAAGATACACTCCCAACAAAACTTCTAAACTACATTAGTTTGTACTATGGCATTTAATGAAGTATAAAATTAGCATTTGAATAAAACTATGTCAAAATAAGACAATTAGGACTATTACACTACAAATAAATATTTGTGTTATGACTTATACATCTCTTAAATGCTACCATTTCTGTGGCATCAGTTATGTCAGTGTCCTTGCTCAGGTGCCAGCTGTGACGGGCATCGAGTTGGGGTCACCACCTGAGATGCTGATCACCACCTACGGAGGTCTGTCCTGCAGACCCTGACTTAATGACCTGATGAATGAATGCACTCACACACACTAGAACACAGTTCTAGTGGGCTAGGGATGGTCATCAGCTGCTTTTAGAGGGTATTTGCAGCTAAGTGACAACGACTCCCTGTCCTTCTCACATTTATTCAGTATAGATTTAATAACAGAGGTTCTAAGTCAACACTCTTGTGGATAATTAATGTGGTTAAAAGAGTGGTTTTACAAATGATAAAAGGTCTTGGTTCTGGGGCCCAGAGTAAACACCATTTACAGGTAATTCCCCTTTGACCTTCCCCTGAGAGGACCATCCAGCATAAAGTATAAATAAGTAAACAGAGACAAAGGAATGTGGGGTAAACAGACTTAACCTGGGAAGCTTTATTATCCTAATCACACCATATGACTTAAAATTCGAATGTAGTGAACTGGCTGTGTTCAGCCTGTTCATTAAAACCTTTTGGCCTTCCAAAAGGTTTGAGACTACAATCTTCCAACTTTCTCTAATATTTCCCTAATATTTTGCCAGCCTCACTGAGTGAATCCCAACACATTTCTTTCCTGCAGAGTATCCATCTAAGGGAAGTAGTAATAATATTCACACTTCTAGAAGAAAACAGAGTCTTGTGATATTGGCCTTGTGTGTTATTTCTTGTATATGATACCAAAAGCATAGGCCACAAAAGTATAAATACACATGGGACTGCATCTAACTGCAAAGTTTCTGCTCAGCAAAGAAAATCATCAGTAGAATAAAAAGGCAACCTACAGAATGAGAGAACATATTCTGTGGTTGCTATGGCTTGTTTGTCCCCTCCAAAGCCCATGTCAAGATTTGATCCCCAAAGTAACAGTACTGGGAGGCGGAGCCCCATGGAAGGTGTTTGGGTTATGGGTGTGGATCCCTCATGAATAGGTTGGTGCTGCTTTCACAGTCTTGAGTGAGACTGGATTAATTCTCTCTGAATGAGTTCATTCTCTTGTGAGTGGGTTTTTATAAAGCTAGGGTGCCCCTCAGGTTTCCCTCTATTCACAAATGTCTGCTTCCACTTTCACCTTCTCTGCCACATTGTGAAATAGCATAAAAGCCCTTACCACAAGCCAGCACCATGCTCTTGAGCTTCTCAGCTGGTACAACAGTGAGCTATCTCTTTTAAAAATAAATTACCTAGTCTCAGATATTCTTTTATAGCAACACAAAATGGACTAAGATACTGTATATCATAAAGGTTAATTTCCAAAACATATAAAGAACTCCTACAAACTCAATAGCAAAAAAATTAAAATAAATAAAAATGAAAATAGAAAACCAACCCAATTTAAAAATGGGCTAAGAAACTGAATAAGCATGTCTCTAAGAACATACAAATGACAAAAACATATATGAAAGGCGTTCACCATCACCAATCATCAGAGAAATGCAAATCAATACAAAAGATTAGCTGACATCTTTAGAATGCCTATTATCATAAAACAAACACAAAAGGAAGAAGTGTCAGTGAGGCTGTAGAGAAAAGAAAACTCTTGTACATTGTTGGTATGAATGGAAATTAGTGCAGCCACTATGGAAAATAGTAGGAGGTTCCTCAAAACTTAAAAGCAGCACTACCGTATGATCCAGTCATCCTGCTTCTGGGTATATATCCAAAGAAAGAGACTGAAATCAGTATCTTGAAGAGTTATCTGCACTCCCATGTAATTGTAGCATTATTCAGAAATAAGTCAAGATATTGAAGCAAACGAAGTGCCTATCAACAGATGGATGGATACAGAAAACGTTACACACACACACACATATATTATACACACACACACACACACACACACACATATATATATATAAAACAATGGAATATTATTCAGCCTTAAAAATTAAGAACATCCTTCTATTTACAACAAGATAGATGAGCCTAGA